GGAATGCATAGGCTGCGCCTGAAAGTCAGGATATATAGTTTTCAATTTAGATTCTACTGTAGAATAGGAACACAAATTTATGGGGAAGGATTTAGCCAATTTGATTGGTAAATTGCCCTTTAGCAGGTAATATCAGTACAAGAAAAAATTAATAACGCCACTTTGCACATTCTGGAACTAAGCCTTTGCACTGAAAACTGTCTCAGGTGTTCAGTCTTGGTTGTGCCTGATCTCTTCCATGATTATTCTTTAAGGGGTGCTCTAAGACTAAAGTACCTTCCCCCTAATTCAGCTACTGTAGTCCCAGCATCATCCAAACAGCTCCTAGCACACCTGTGTAGCCTAAGGTGGCTGTAACAGTTGCTCATAAAGCCAGCTTTATTTAACTAGCTGCAAATTGTGGTGATGGAAAAGCATACATCAGGGCTACTAGCACCAGCATCAGTTGAAAACCCAGGCAGCTGAGACTCCTGGCTCTTTTCTTACAGTCAATAGCAGGGAACTGAGCTGAAAACTGGCAAGGAAGGAATTGGCAGTGCAAAAAGGTGCTCTGTGAGCTGTAAATACTTTTGTAAGCACGCTGCAGAGTTGGTTTGTTGTTTTCGCAAAGCTGAGAGAATGAGTTGGAGGTAGGGGTGGATGAATCTGTAAATTTCAGTTCCTCCACCCCCCCCCCCCATTCTTAAATTCAACTCTCTGCACTTCTGCAGATACAGTGTTTGCAATAATAATAATTTTAAAACTTAATGAAAATTTGTCAGCATTTTAGCTCAAATTTCTCCTAACAAACACATTTTTGTATGCAGCTTCGAAGAACCTGCACATTTTTGCAAAGCAATTTCCTCTAAGATACAGCCATACCTCGGGTTAAATGTGCTTCAGGTTGAGCATTTTCAGGTTACACTCCATGGTGACACAGAAGTAACGGAGGGCATTGCTTCCAGGTTTCGCCACTCGTTCATGCGCAGACGCTCAAAATGACGTCACGCGCATGAGCGGAAGTGGCAACTCACGACTGCGCGGACGTGGGTTGTGTTCGCTTCAGGATGCGAACGGGGCTCCGGAACAGATCCCGTTCACATCCGGAGGTACCACTGTAATGCATTTTGATGATATTTTACTAATGTCTGCGTTTACTGCATACTTCTCCCTCCCCCAATATATACAGTTTTGTACATATCTGTGTGTATCGGATAGCTGTGTCTTGCTTGCTTCATGTACTGGTGTGTGAGGAGTGTGGATTAAATACCTTCTTATGGCCCTGTGATCATCATCTAAGGCCCTTCTTTGTGCTCTCCTCCACAAGAGGCCTGGAGGGTTGGAACACGAGAACAGGCCTTTTCTGTGGTGGCTCTCCCCAAGGAGACTCGCCTGTTGCCTTCATTACGTCTCTTTAGTCGTGGAACTCCCTCCCCTCAGGGGGAGCATCCGGCACACTCATTATACCACATTATACTGAATGCTGAAGGTGTACCTCTGTATCCTGGCTTTTGAGATGTATATTTTTAAAGGTAAAGGGACCCCTGACCATTAGGTCCAGTAGTGGCCGACTCTGGGCTCATCTCACTTTATTGGCCAGGGGAGCCAGCGTACAGCTTCCGGGTCATGTGGCCAGCATGACTAAGCTAGTTTTGGCAAACCAGAACAGCACATGGAAACGCCGTTTACTTTCCTGCCGGAGCGGTACCTATTTATCTACTTGCGCTTTGACGTGCTAGGTTGGCAGGAGCAGGGACCGAGCAACGGGAGCTCACCCCGTCGCGGGGATTCAAACCGCCGACCTTCTGATCAGCAAGTCCTAGGCTCTGTGGTTTAACCTAATTTCTGTGATTGTAAGTTGTTTTAAACTGATTTTAATACTGTGCTCCAATTGCTTTAACCCACCCTGAGAATTTAGGGTGCAGGGTGGGCTGATGATGACATTTCCATAGCTTTGAGAGTAACCTCACCACACAGGAATGGCCCTACCATGAGGCAGGGTGAGGCAGCTGCCTCAGGCGGCAAATACCGAGGGGCAGCAAGTGGAGAGAGCTCTATGGTCTGTGCCATGCATTCTGTCCTGCGCCCACTTAACTAGGCCACTGCCCTTGGGCTGCGATAGAGGATGTTGAAATAAGATGTTCTGCTGAGCTTCTGTACACGAAAGGGGACCGCGAGGAGACAACTTCTTGAGCTTTGCTTCAGGCATCAAAATCCCTTGGGCTGGCCCTCTGTCACCACACACCTGTAGGCTGCTTCCAAACCTACTAAGGAAGAAGGTTTCCTTTCAGTTCAGCCCTCCTGCCAGCCATTCTTCAAATCAAGGAGCTTTAATTTGAATCTGGGCACCTTGGAAGGACTCTTGGCTTGGAAGCTTTCTTTCCACGCCAAGGCTCCATGACAGAAGGCAGGCTTCCTGTACCTTGAAAACCTTCATAAAGTTGACATTGCAGCAGGTGCAGCTTTGCTCAGCCCTCGCGAGCAGCGAGCCGAGCTGCCAAACTCCCCTCTTCCACACAGCCATTAAAGAGATACAAGAGCCTTAGAGTAGATGGCATCTGGTCACCCCACTGAGCCCTGGCATTGGAAACAGCTCATGGCCTGAGCGTTGGGATGCTGAGGTGCCAGCGAAAGCTCTGCAGTTTGGGACAGATGAGTGAGGCTGCTCCGATGGAGTCAACTTCTTAGTAAAATAATTAGAAATCGCTGCTGCGGTGTGGAAATCAGGCCGATTATGTTTTGGAGCTGTGTTTATGAGGGAGCCCTAAATTACGGCCCTTTTGCCACAGCCTCTGAAAGGCTGCACTGGGAGCAGTTGTGAGGCATGGAAAGGTTAGGATGCCGATCCAAGTAACCCAAACCTTGGCATTCATATTTGGCTGCTGGTTCAATTCCGGGCCTAGTTACAGGTGCTCACACTAGTGTTGAAAGCCTTAAACGACTCAGACCCCAAGTATATGAGAGATCACCTCCTTCCCTATAGACTCTCTCAGGTGTTAAGCTCAGCAGAAGGGGCACTGTTGGTAGTTCCACTGCCCCCAGAGGTCTGGGGGGAGTGGTGGCCCAGGAGAGGGCACCCTCAGCTCCTAAGTTATTGAATTCTCTCCCCACAGAGGAATATCTGGAACTGCCAGCATACAGCTTTTGGCAAATGCTGAAGGTGTACCCCTTTTACCCTGGCCTGAGATGAGTGTTTTTATGACCCACCCTTATTCATGCAACCGTAATTTGCCTTATGAGTTTTAAATCCTGATTTTTAAATTGTTGTAATCTGCCCTGAGGACCTGTTGATGATGGGCGGGTAAAAATAAAAATAAACATACGCTCTGGTGCCACCTGATATCTTTTGCACAGGCAACAAGCAACATGATCCTATGCTTAGAAGTAAGCCCCATTTTGTTCACAGCCCAGAGGCAACACCTCAGGGGGACAGAGCCTTTTTGCCACCTGCCCCAATTTCCCAAGAAACCAGGGGGCGGAGGAGGCCGAGCGTGGAGCTGAGTGTGGCACAGCTTCAAGTGGCTGCTGTGGCGATCACACAGGGTCCCCGGATGTTTCACCGTCTATTGACCCCTGTGCCACCACTTTATTTCTCGCTGCCACCACCCAGGCCCTACCTGGGACAATACTGAGTCCAGTCAGGGTTAAATTGGAACATAAACTTCTGTTTATTTATTGCAGTTTAACAAGTGTGTGGTTTCATAAACAGTATCGGTCAATTACAATCATGGGGTGCCTATCCAGACCTATAAATTCTGCTACCTACTCTCACTCACTAAACCACCTCTCAGATATTTACTTGTCTTCCTAGCCCCTAACTGTTCCTGACTCAGCTTATTTCACTACACTAACTCAACCTACTCACAAGGTAAAGGTAAAGGGACCCCTGACCATTAGGTCCAGTCGTGGCCGACTCTGGGGTTGCGGCACTCATCTCACTTTATCGGCCAAGGGAGCCAGCGTACAGCTTCCGGGTCATGTGGCTAGCATGACTAAGCCGCTTCTGGCGAACCAGAGCAGCGCACGGAACCACCGTTTACCTTCCCGCTGGAGCGGTACCTATTTATCTACTTGCACTTTGACGTGCTTTCGAACTGCTAGGTGGGCAGGAGCTGGGACCGAGCAACGGGAGCTCACCCCGTTGCGGGGATTCGAACCGCCGACTTTCTGAGCAGTACATGTGAAAAGGATCTAGGAGTCTTGGTTGACCACAAACTTGACATGAGCCAACAGTGTGACGCGGCAGCTAAAAAAGCCAATGCAATTCTGGGCTGCATCAATAGGAGTATAGCATCTAGATCAAGGGAAGTAATAGTGCCACTGTATTCTGCTCTGGTCAGACCTCACCTGGAGTACTGTGTCCAGTTCTGGGCACCACAGTTCAAGAAGGACATTGACAAACTGGAACGTGTCCAGAGGAGGGCAACCAAAATGGTCAAAGGCCTGGAAACGATGCCTTATGAGGAACGGCTAAGGGAGCTGGGCATGTTTAGCCTGGAGAAGAGGAGGTTAAGGGGTGATATGATAGCCATGTTCAAATATATAAAAGGATGTCACATAGAGGAGGGAGAAAGGTTGTTTTCTGCTGCTCCAGAGAAGCGGACACGGAGCAATGGATCCAAACTACAAGAAAGAAGATTCCACCTAAACATTAGGAAGAACTTCCTGACAGTAAGAGCTGTTCGACAGTGGAATTTGCTGCCAAGGAGTGTGGTGGAGTCTCCTTCTTTGGAGGTCTTTAAGCAGAGGCTTGACAACCATATGTCAGGAGTGCTCTGATGGTGTTTCCTGCTTGGCAGGGGGTTGGACTCGATGGCCCTTGTGGTCTCTTCCAACTCTATGATTCTATGAAATCCTAGGCTCTCTGGTTTAACCCACAGCACCACCTGCGTCCCATATAACCTACCCACAAACTCTATCCCAATTCACTCCCACTCCAACCAACCACCCAACTCCCAACAAACTCCTCCCAGAGCTGGTTTTATAGTCCCTCTGACTCCACCGCTTGGGTCCTGATTGGGTAACTATTTCACCTCCAGCACTCTCATGTTCTCCCATCCAAGTACTAACCAGGCCTGACCCTGCTTAGCTTCCGAGATCAGACGAGATCGGGCTTGTTCAGGGTAGTATGGCCGTAGACTCTCATGTTAACACTCTCATGTTAACGTCACAGCCGCCTGCTCTGACTCCGCGTCCTGCCACGGAGGGGAATGAGGATTGAAGCAGCCCCCCCACCGATGGCGGTGGCAGAAGGAGGAGCCGCCAACCACTGAAGCCATGCTGCTGATGTTTTCGGCTCCAGCCCCGGCTGACGTTGCACACATGTGATGTCACACGCACAGCATTGCTCCTCACCCCCCATTGACCTCTCAAGCTGGCCCCTCTGTTCACAGCAATGTGAGGACGGTCCAGTATAAATCCACCACTAATGGACTATTATTGTGTCAATGACTAAGTCTCATGCTAGTACTGCTGTTTGGAATCTGTTCCCCTAATGAAACCGAGGCGGCTTCCTGCATATATTTTTTGCTGCCAAGATGTAAGCTTTGTTCTCCTTGAGTCCCCCAGGAGACATTGTAAATAATTAGAATATGCTGCTGAAACATGAAAAACGATAACTCCCCCCACCTTATTTATTTGCCTCTCTTGTGCTATTAACCTGAAGAGCTAACTCTTGCCTTGGCATCTTCCCAGGAACGGATCCTGCTGTTTGTCGCCAGGACTTCGGAAAGCAGCTTCTTGGTTGATTAGGAAAGTTTAGCTGCCCTCGGGAATTTGATTTCCACCTGCCCAAGCACTTCGCCCTCTGCTGAGATATCACCTTCCTTTATTTAGCAAGATGAAACAAAAACAAAAACAAGGAGATCTGTATCCATTACGCTTTTATTTTATTTTTAATTCTTAAGACCGAAAGCCTTTCAGTATTTGGGGTGGCTTTTAAAAGCATCTCAATGTAAAGATATCAGCGGGTGCTAAAGATTTTCATTTCCATACTGTGAAAAGCTTCAGCTGCTGATTTTTTGCACATCAAGGCTGCTCTGAAGAGCAGAGAATGTCATTTTTCCCCCGGGCAGTTGGTAATTGTAAACTGGTTTAATATGAACTTTCAGAGGAGTAGCTGTGTTCGGTTTTGGGGTTTTGTTTGGCTTTCTACAGCAAAAACAGTAAGGAGACTTGTGGTACCCTAAATTAATGGTCCATTTCACCCAATGCACCAGGTGCATAGCTGTCAACTTTTCCCTTTTCTTGCGAGGAATCCTATTCGGAATAAGGGAATTTCCCTTAAAAAAGGGAAAAGTTGATAGCTATGACCAGGTGTGATGCTCAGCCTAACAGTTACATACATACACAGGTACAGACAAGAAGAAGTGAAAAAGTATGATAATACTATGCAAAGCTCAAGATAAGCCAAGAGACTGTTAAGTATTGTGATTTAATATACTGAAATTGGGAATGCTCAAATGCATTACTGTGTGTTTGATTCTGGAATGTTCCCCAGTAACTCTCGTGTGATTGGTTAACTCTGGTCACATGGGATGCATCTTATTATATTCTCCATTTTGTTTTGTGTGTGACTTGACTGTAGTGGCTGCATCTCCATGAAGACTGAAGGAGAGATGGTGCTGGATATCCCCCTCTCTATATGCAATAGAGGAAGGGGGTGCTAATGTTTCTGAGTGAATGTATGCGACAGAAAGAAGTACAGTAGCTGATGTTCTCCCAAAGAAGCAGTTAGGAGAAGCTGGAAGGAGAAAGTGGAAACTTCTCGGAAGGAACTGCATGACGTTGCTGGGTCATGGACAGAAAACTAAGTGCAAGTACAGGAAAGAGAGAAAAGGCTCAGTTTGTTTATTTAAGGAAGAAGCTGTAATCTTCAACTAAGAAAAACCAAGCCCATGCTTGGATAAGCATGTGAATGTAAACCACTGAGCCTCTTGGGTTTGCCGATCGGAAGGTCGGCTGTTCAAATCCCCGCGATGGGGTGAGCTCCTGTTGCTCTGTCCCATCTCCTGCCAACCTAGCAATTTGAAAGCATGCCAGTGCAAGTAGATAAATAGGTACCGCTGCAGCGGGAAGGTAAACAGCAGTTCTGTGCACTCTGGTTTCCGTCACGGTGTTCCGCCAGAAGCAGTTTAGTCATGCTGGCCACATGACCCAGAAAGCTGTCTGTGGACAAACGTCGGCTCCCTCGGCCTGAAAGCGAGATGAGCACCGCAACTCCATAGTCGCTTTTGACTGGACTTAACCGTCCAGAGGACCTTTTACCTTTATCTTAAATATTTTACATATATTCTTCTTTAGTTATATGTTCTGCAAGTGAAAGCTTTAGAATAGTTTAACAAATGTTTTGGACATTGTTTTAAGAAAAGAGTCTGTATTGCACATGATATTGGCTACCTAGCTGCAATTTAGCTACAGAAAATACCCTATCCTGTGTCATCCACCTGATGTGGTTTGAATCCCTGCGACGGAGTGAGCTCCTGTTGATCTGTCCCAGCTCCTGCCAGCCTAGCAGTTCGAAAGCACACCAGAGCAAGCAGATAAATAGGTACTGCTGCGGTGGGAACGTAAGTTGTGTTTCTGTGCGCTCTGGCTTCCATCACAGTGTTTCCATTGCACCAGAAGCTGGCCACATGACCCGGAAAGCTGTCTGTGGACAAATGCCGGCTCCTTGGCCTGAAAAGCGAGGTGAGCGCCACAACCCCAGGGGTCCATTACCTTTACCTTTTTTGTATGTATCACGACACAAAGGGCTCCCTTTAACCCAGGCAGGCTGGAAGGTGAGCACCTGAATGAGTCCTTGATGCTGTTGCTTATTTTTTTATTATGTTGCTGTGTTAATAGTAGAGTTGGCATCTGACCAGGGTGCCCTCCCTGTCTTGTATCTCTGTTATATGGTCTGTTGTTATTGGTGAATAGCTATTTTAGGGTTAGGGTGCTGTCTGTTGAGCAAGGACAGTCCTGCCGCCTCAGTTTCCTGGGAAGAGGGGCTGACTGTTAAATCACTCCGAGAATTGTTCCTCTGTGAGGGGAATGTCTTCTCAGCAACTTCACAAACTACAGTTCCCAATATTCTTTAGGGGAAACTATGACATTTTAAAGAGTATGATACTGCTTTAAATGTGTAGTGCAGGCAGAGCCATAGAGAGAGAGATCACAGGAACACCTAAAAGTATTTTCTCCGAGCAAAAGCTAAGATTGTAATTAACTTAAAATTACCTATTGCAAATTGCTGCTGTATTAATTAAAAAATATACACCCCATAGCTTTGGACTGAAACTCCTACAAAAATTACAACACAATTCAAACAGGGTTTTTAATTAGAAGACTAATAGAAATTTAGGAGGCATCTCTCACAATATGCTTTTGAAATATTTTGGTCCTCGTTATCATCAGTAGTGAATAAAGGTTTCCTTGGCCGTAATGTGGAAATGAATTAATGAAGGGTTCAGACAGGTGCTTATGAATTGTCAGGGAGATATTCGTAACTTTTCTTTTTAATTCTTCGGCTCAGACATTTGGACAGCTCAGAAATGTTGGGTGTTTACTTGCAATGAATCTCTTAAGTTTTATACATTCATCCTTCATTAGGTTTGCTCCAGAATTCATCAGCTTTAGCCTGTGGAGACAAAACTTGCCTTTTTTGTCTCCCACCATATTTAACAGGAAAGCGTCAAAAGTGTCAAGTTCTGGTTTGCCCTGAGGTGTCCCTAGACAGCTATTTTTCACCTCTCTCACCACCGAGACGGTCCAGTTTCATCTTTCCATACAGAAACCATATGCATGCTCTTAAATCTGCTTGCCCTCTGCCCTCCCTGGACTGTTGTATGTCTCAGAAACATAGACGTTGCTCAAGTATCGGGAGACTGAGCACATTCCAGTAACATTGGCAGAGGCAACTTCTAAGCTGATCCCATCAGCTGATTTTATCTGCAACACAGAGGCGGAAGGGCGGAGCATTCAGAAGCATGCTCATAAGGTTTATGCGCTTTGGTCGTATCCCAAAGTTCCCCATTTTGGACATCCAAGCGAATGAACTCTCAACAGCAAAGTGAGCTAAGGAAAGGCACCTGTCACTTCTGAATGAGAGGGCCATTGCGGTAAGGTAAAGCTGGCAATAGCTAGTTAAGCACATTTTGTTGTTGTTTAGTTGTGTCCGACTCTTTGTGACCCCAAGGACCAGTGCACGCCAGAGTCTCCCGCAGTTTGGTCAAACTCATGCTGGTAGCTTCGAGAACACTGTCCAACCATCTCGTCCTCTGTCACCCCCTTCTCCTTGTGCCCTCCATCTTTCCCAACATCAGGGTCTTTTCCAGGGAGTCTTCTCTTCTCATGAGGTGGCCAAAGTATTGGAGCCTCAGCTTCATGATCTGTCCTTCCAGTGAGCACTCAGGGCTGATTTCCTTCAGAATGGATACGTTTGATCTTCTTGCAGTCCATGGGACTCTCAAGAGTCTCCTCCAGCACCATAATTCAAAAGCATCAATTCTTTGGTGATCAGCCTTCTTTATGGTCCAGCTCTCACTTCCATACATCACAACTGGGAAAACCATCGCTTTAACTATACGGACCTTTGTCGGCAAGGTGATGTCTCTGCTTTTTAAGATGCTCTGCTTTAAGACAGCATCTTAAAGGTTTGTCATTGCTTTTCTCCCAAGAAGCAGGTGTCTTTTAATTTCGTGGCATTAGCCCGATGCAATTATTCAGGTGGATGTGTAGAGGCTTAAAGTGAGAAGAGGGGAAGGGGCAGATTTCACGGGGGGGGGGGGGCTTTAGCACACTACTGTTGGTACACCCGCCCCGCCCCCAGCACTCCAGCCAACCAAGACCAGGTTCAGCCCTGTTTGTGATGGCCACAGTGGAACTATAGATGGGAACTACTCAGACCAAAGTTCCACGAAATCAATTATTATTTTTTTACACCTGTGGATCATGCCATTATGTTTTGGATAACTGAACTGGGTAGGCAGCCACCGTGGGCAGGAAATTAGCTTGGTTCCCATTAAAAAAAACACCAGGGAGAGCATCTGACTATTCAGATCTGTCATGGATGCCCAGCTTGTTACTTTAGCTTTAACTTCCAGTGAGCAGACAGCAACCCAATGCGGGGTTATGGCACTCCCTTTAAAAGCACATTTG